ACATCGTAGAAATTAATAGTTTTTTTTATAACATATTTCTTATAATATTTGCAAGACTGTAAAATTTCTTGTTATAAAAAAGATGCATTATAGAATAAAGTAAAAATTGTTATTATTTAATCGTACGTGACCCAAGTGTCAGAAAACGCGTCGACAAGATAATCTGAAGCGCAACTAACAATAAGTAAAATAATAATATAAAATTTGGTATGAAAAAATTATGCGAATTCGAGTTTTCGTAAATATTTTATATAAAATTCATAGAAATTTTGTTCCGAGAATGATAGATGTATTAACCTTTTGCACTCGAGGGGCGGCTCTCAGTCGCCATTTAATCAGATTCTAAAAGTGGATGTTAATTAATATATCAAATTTACAATTACTCAACGATGCTTGGAATATCGAAATAAAATAATTCTACGTCTTAATTTGTATACGATTACTTTACCGTTTTAGAAATATCGTCGACTTTATGCCAGAAAGTCTACGAATTATTATTTTCCTGCGATTAAAAATATATTTTTATATATTTTTGACTCTTTGCACTCGGCGATTTTTTAGTTGCAAAAAGAATAGTAATTCGAAGACTTTCTACCATAAACTCGACGATATTTTTAAAACGGTAAATAAGAAATCTTATGCAAATTAAGACGTAGAATTATTTTACTTCGATATTCCATGCATCGTTGGATAATTGTAAATTTGATATATTAATTAGCATCCATCTTTAGAGTTTGATTAAATGCGACTAAGAGGCGTCTCTCGAGTGCGGAGGTTAATGTTATTATCTAATAATATTATTTATTATTTTATAATTGGCATTATTTATTATCGTATATTATATACTATAAATCATCATAAGCTATATTGCCATAACAGGAAGTCAAGGAAAATGTACAAATAGCCGGATGTCGCCATCTATGAACGCGCAAGTAGCTACCGGAGACGGCTTCGAAGATCGTCAATTTGTCGTATTAGCATCAGAGAAACAAGCGAGGGTTGTAGCGTTACCGTCGCAAAATTGCCTGTACAGGCAACAATTGGCTGAAACTCATATTGTGATTAAAGCAGAGATTACATCTTTAAAAGGTGCGTATGATGATTTCTGCAATCTTTGTCCAAACGATTTATCTTACGATTAATTCCAACATATTTATTTCTAGAATTTTATGCTTTGAGTCTTTCCATAAAATTATGTATTTCTGGTGAATTAATATCTATACGTACTTATAACGCTAGAACTAGACAGCTATAGTATGTACCTAACTATAATATGCATAAATAATAATAAGTAACGTAATATGATAAAAACAAACGGGTACATTCGATTTCTATATGAGTAAAAATCTGCGTTAATTTTGACACCAGTATCTGTACGTTCCGAGTATCTGAAAAAGCGAAAAATCGGAAATTAGTTGTTTTGAGTAATTTAGTAGGTCGTGTATTAACCTTTTTGCTACTACGGGTGACTATAGTCACCGGCCACGAGATGCCACTTAACATGTAGGCTAACTATAATCACCGGCTACCAAAATTGAAGTAAAATTTAAAACAAATGCTTAGTTCTCTTCGCAAAGAATTACAAACGCTATTGTAATGGTCCTTTTGTTCTTTCCTTTCTTTTCCTTTTTTTTTCTTTTTATTTTGTCAAAAGAATTAGCCCCCGATGCTAAAGACTGCGCGCGCGCAATTTCAACTTTGGCAGGACGTTTCGTTCTACGAAAGGGACTTTGGGACAAGGCCCACCGTAGCGAAAGGGTTAAATAAGAATATAAAGGAGGATGTTAAAAAAGGGCCATTTTTGGTATCGCCTGAAAATGAAATTCTTCAGGACTTTTAAAAGCATCTTCCAAAGAACTAAAAATTTCTTTATCACTTAGCCGAGAAATGATGGTAAAGATGTCAAGAATGAGTCGAAATATGTGAAAATGAGACTGATTAAATACAGGGTGACCTAACAACAACTCTACATGAAAAAACAAATCGAAAATAAAGAATAAAATTTGTTCATTATTGGAAAGGACGCTGATATACTGATGGTCCATCCGTCTTAGCCAAAAGTACACGCATACTTGATAAATATTCAAAGCCGATTTTCTCGCTTTATCTTCGATTTGTTTTTTCACGTAGAATTACCCTCTCCTTAATTGTACTACTTATACTTACATACTGATGGTGTATTCATAGAAGCCATAGCTAAGTACACGCGCACACGGTGAATATTCAAAGTCGATTTTTTCGAAGATGAAGCTTAGAATAAAAAAATTTTATTTTTCTCTTTTTAATGCGTTTCTGCGTGTAGAATCAATCTTTTCTCGGATGTACTACCGTTTCTGGGACACCCTGTATTTAATCAGTCTCATTTTCACATATTTCGACTCATTTTTGATAACTCTCCCATCATTTCTCGATAAAGTGATAAAGGAAACTTTTGTTCCTTGGAAGATGCTTTTAAAAATCCTGAAGGAACTTTCTATTTGCAGGCGATGCCAAAAAATGGCCCCTTTTTAACATACTCCTTTTAGTATCGAATAATATATCACGTATCAAATAATTCAAATCTAAACTTCATATAGCAAAGCGTAAACGAAATTAACGTGAAACAATAATCCCTTTTGTGCAGATAATGTATGTCTTGTATGCTACGTTTCAAATGGGCACATAGCAACGTATAGTTTACCAAGTCTGAGGCCGCTTATAGACGTCGATTTTCTACCGCTTATAGATTTGAGGTAAGAATAACAATTATTTTATTTAATTAGCTTTGCGGCAAACTAATCATTACAATTGCACATGGTATATAATGCACTATATGCTATTGCAACATTGCAACACTGCAACTCTTTATATACATGGTTGAATGTAGCGTAAAAGTCACTTCATACTAACGAGATTATTTCTTTGCCTAATACTTCTAATCGATCATTCTAAATTACATACGGTAATGAAGGAAATAACAATTTTAAATAGAAATTGCTCATGTAAAAGCTTTAATTACTAATTCTCGTGCTCTTTATAGACATTTAATTACTAAAATAGTTTTAACTACTAAATTCTTGAAAAATGTAAATCTGCATTTTAGAATGATTTCGTTTGTTTCATAGTGTAATATTAACAAGTAATATTTATAATACTGATTGAAAATTGTTATACTTTTATTGAACGAAGTAAAAAATTGTTAAGTATGAAGTTGCTATACTATGAAGAGAATAGGAAAAAATATAAAATACTAGAAATAAATAATTTGATATAAAAGGTATCTGGAAATGAAGTAAATTAACATTTACATAACTCAAGACTTATGTCAATCCTGTGTTATGTTATTTTGTACTGTACATACGATTTTAAACTAGCACATTCTTTAATATCGTTTTACAATGCAGCAACTTTAATAAGTACTTGCACAGAATAATTATTACTCGATAAAAATATGGTTTCATTATCTTTCTTAACTGACTCGACAGCAATATATAAAATTAAATTAAATTTCACAATTTTCAAATTGAAAATTACAAATCACAAATTTAGTAATTCACTGATCAATATAGTAAAAGATGGTTGATAAGAGTGTAATTACATATTACTTAAACTTGTACTTATATATTGATTAACAAGCTATAAATCTTAATATGTAAACCAAATAAATTGTTGTTTAGCAAGATTTCTAATTTCTTATATCGAAAGATTCGAATACTGAAATACTGAAACATGATTTAAGCATTATGATACTTCATTAAAAACATTAAATAACAAAATTTAATTAGCTACAAACTGAAACCCTGTGTCAATGAAGTTTAAAGTAAAGTTTGAAAATAAATGAAGTTTAAGTAGGTTTAGATAAATAGGTCTACTGCATTTGTTTCTTTCCTTTTCTTGTTTTACTTTACTAAAATGTCTTAAACTAATTGCTCGTATCTTTTAATTTTTATGTTTTCACAAGAACATTTTAGGTATCTTAAGTAATTATTTTTTAATAAATTGAACAGAAAATACTTTTTCTTTTAATGGCCTCGTTTGTGGATTTCATTTTTTGTTACTTAAATAATTTTCATTCTTAAGATTCATGATATTGTCAAATTATTCAATGGACGAATGAATATTCTTTTACAAAAAAAGAAGAGATCTTGCAAATGAAAACATTTACCATTACATTATGTCGCCATTTAAAACTGAATAAAGTAAGATCATTTTCTATTATCTAAATTGTCAAAATATACACCTAAAGAATTGTTGAAACATTATATTTTATATTTTATTATCCTGGAGAAAGTATTAATTTTTATAATACTTTGCGGAACTTAAATTTATTTTCCTAGAAAATTTATCTGTTTTTAGAAAATCTATGATTAAAAATTCAAGGTAATAATATTCTGATTCTATAATATGTAATATTTATAATATTTACAGATAATTCGTAAATAATTCACTATCAATAATAGTGGTTATTATTGCAGTTTCTGAATTTCTTTTGGGTATTATATTTTCTTGTATATTAAAGTCTATTATTTTTTAATAAAAAGAAAAATGGGTAATTTCATTACCATATTATAGATTAAATATATAAAAGGTTGTATAAGAAAAATCATACTCATTTGCAAAAATGATAGAGTTGTAACGTTTTAAATTTCAATTTAAATAAATACAATTTTAGTTGTATTTATTATTAAGAAATTAATTAATACATAGTATTAATAACTAATGCATAGTAGTCTGATATTATTAAAAAACAATGGAAATATTTTAAACATAAGATACAGAATATTTAATAAAATCATTGAAATACCTTGCATTAAACAAAATTAAATAATTTTTTTATCTTTTATATTTTTTCTTAATATATTACAAAAAATATATTGTATCAAACGGAAAGAAAAAACTGAAACTAAAAAATATCGCTAACACCAGTGTGATAGGTTCATTGAAAATAATAAATAGGCAAAATCGGATTATTAATAATATAATCATATATGTAATATAATAGTGTAACATAAAACTAGTGAATAATGAATCTCATAAATAGTCATCAACTATTTAAGGCAAAGAAGTTAATCTAATTCTAGTACAATGTATAAAATTTTCTATGCTAAAGTATGTATTTCAATATGATAATAATATAACTTTTTAATTCTTTTATTAATTATTTAAAAATGTTGTGTATCTCACTGAAATAAGTATGATAATTCTTATATCTAAGCCAGAAGCTTCTGTTAAATATAATAATTTTTCTTTGTTATTATTACAAAAAGCTTTGACCGAATTTTGGTTATATATACATCATTTAATACATAATTGTTGATCTGAATAAATATTATGTTTTCTATGATAGACATAAATTTATTGCTGTTAAATGTGTTTATGAAACTATAATTGAAAATGTATTCGTTAATATGTACATATTTAAGTATATTGTGCAACTATATCCTTTCAGAGAAGTTTAATTAATCATTTAATTTGCAAATAAATTGGATTTAACTTCATAAATAGTAATTTAATTTATCTATCAGTAAATTGACGAAATATATAAAAAAACGTACTTAGATTATGTTTATTACTAAGATTTGTCCAATTACTGCTAAAATATTTTTGTACCTTTGAAATATCATGAATTTCGACATTCTTTCGTTGTATAGCGTAATGCACTGTGTATTATATAGCTGTGTGAATGTTGAATAGATATTATTTTATATTTAACACCAGTCTAAATATAGAATAATCAAGAATGTTTAGTGGGATGATAATGAGAAATATTAATATCTATAGCATGTAATTTCTTTATTATATTCAACGTATATATTCGTTAACCCTTAATACACTTTTAGCATGCTTTATGTAGAATTATTTCTATAAGCACTTCTACTGCACTGTTTATATCTCTTATATAGTTGAGAAAACAGTTTTGTGCTACTATTATTCTCTTGAATTGGCAAATGTTCACTTCTAAAATAATAATAAATTTGCATCTTCTATTTACATTCTTCTTTATATAGTATATTTTTTTCTTTTATATATGTATAGTGAATAATATGAATATTCATATCCTGATTAGTAATATATACTATAAAATATCTATAAAATATCAGATATATTATTTATTTTGTCCTGAAGAAACTAACGATTTAATTGTAATAAATTGATATTTGATTAAAAATATTGAATAAAATGAATTTAGTACAAATGGGATCATTTAAACTGTGTATTGGAAGTAAAACTGAAATTTGAATTATTATTTAAAATTCATTTTTTGTAGCATATTTATAGTAATTTCTCGAGATACGCTTACTGTTTACTGTCCTTTTATACAGGAAGCACTTTTTAAATTGTTTTTAGGAAACTACACAAATGACATACCGATGTATCTCGCATAATTATTTTTTAAATGCCAGAAGCAGACAGAGCAATTACAGATAAGAACATTAAATGATAATTATTGATAATTCCAAGTGATTTGTTCCTTTACTCTAAAAATTTAAATGTGTTATCAAGTTCAATTCAAATCTACTATATTTTATCGTTGTTATCAGAAATTTGAAAATAATTGTTTTAAAATAAAATAAAATATAATATAATGAACAAATATGAAACCTTATACATTGTTTTATACCTTATTGAAGGCAGTATAAAGTGGTATATCTGATCAAATGATCATAATAGCAATGCGTGATGTGTACTTACTTGAATTGATTGATGATCAAATTGTTACTGATTCTTTTAAATTTCGTTCCTTTAAATTTAAAAACATCCGACCTTCAAAGAAAAATTTAGTAAGTTTAATTTTGTTTATAATCTTCAATATTATAAAATTAATTTTTTAATGTAAAACATGTTATTAGGTTACGAAAAACTTTATTTCTAAATTAAAATAAAAAAGAAAAGTGTATTCAAACTGATATATAGTTTTAGAGATAATTTAGAATTTTAACACGTTTTCGTGAAAATAGATGAGAATTTAAAGTTATTTATTTTTAAAACAAATTCAAAATCAGTAAAACAATAAGTTAAACCTTTGCTAATTTTACGTTCACTAAATCATATTTTACAGTAAGAACGATATCTGAAGTTGAAATCGAAAAATAATTGATTACCATGGGTTAGCTATATTTGAATTTTTTAGAAAATAATAATCAACGATTTTTGGTTCATTGTCTGTTCAATTATAGTAATATTAGTTATTATGACGAATCATTCGTTATCAAGTGCAATAAGGTAATAAGGTGCCATTTATTTCATTGGCATCTTGTGAGAAAGCGAAATGAAGGTAAAGGGGTATATTTATTTGTAAAAATTTATATTTTTGTATGTTTATGGGATTATTATTAATATATTTTTTCTCAAGATTCGCTGTTATTAAACTATATCAATCCAACAAAATTTTAGTTTTCGTATTAACTAGTTTGATAGATATATAGTTTACACATTTGCCAGAAAAAAATTAATAAAAATAATATTTACATCTTCAAAATATTATGCAATGTAACCGACTGCTAATAAGAAGAATTGATTATATTCCAAATTTTAAACAGAAATATTTCAAAAGTGGGAATATGTAATAGGGGTCGCTTTTCCTTGCAGCCACAGATATTATCATACTAATTGTTTATCTGTTTCAAAACACATTTCTTGTCAACAAATTCGACAAATCATTTGCCAAATCGAATTAAAAGTCTCTGACAAAATTGATTTTTACTCTTCTGTTCCCCAAATTTCTCTTATAAGGTGATGACAATAATTATAAAATTTCTGATTGAATTTTATAATGAATTAAGTTGTATAAATAATTATACTTGTTATCAATGTTAGTATTGAACAGAATAATATTGATAGATATACAAAAGTCGTATGATATTGTGTTATAATACATCAGGATCCATAAAACACTTAATTTTGTTCTTATTATATGATAGCTTTATTTTCATGGTGTTCTATACAATTATACGATAATTATACGATGCATAAAAGTAATTTGTACTCGTTAATTTATGATTTATGCAAGACAGAGCATAATTCTTGGTATTAATTTAAAATAATAAAAATAAAAAATTATTCCGTCGAATTATTAATAATTTAATTATCTATTTAGAAAAGCTATACCATTCAAAAATTAAAGACGTTACCAATTAATTAACGAGATTAAGTTTCTCAAGATCATCATCGTACTAGAAATTTTTTCACAGTACTTTTTACTTGAAATATTGCCCTCTATTCGGTTGCACTATAAACTACACCTCACCTTTTCTAGCGTTTTAATATAAAATAGAATAGTATAGGTATGACATTTTCCCATAGATAATATCTAAAAATATTAATCATTGTTGTAAAAAGTTTTGACACTGATATACAAACAATCGTTCTATCTAGTACATAGAAGAATCCTTAGTACATTCTAGTTTAGAACATTCTTTTAAACTATGAAATTTAAAGGATTATCCTCATCAAAAAAGTAAAGGAGAAAAATATTTTATACCACAGTTATATTATACCGGAAAAATTATTATTAAATTAATATTTAATGTAAGTTTCTGATACAACTACGAATTTTATGCTATATGAGCAAGTTCAATATTATCGTCACCATAAGTTTTGTTGATATCCTTTTTTCGGTTGTATCATTAATTACGAAACACTCTATACAATATAACTACAATTTGAGACAAATTTCAGACATAGCACGTGTTTATACATATGATCTTTTTCTATTTCTTTCGTCTTTTACTTTTGTCTAACTGTCACCTGTTGAAGATGGTTGCCATAAGTTATAGAATCCCCTGCTTATACAGGGTGTCCCACTTGAAATTACGCATGTTATTATCTCTTAAAGTAATCGTAATACGAAAACATATTTTAAATAAACTCTTTTTTTCTAGTATAACACCTTTTGATGTATATACATCTGATTTAACAATAGGTAGGTCTTGTGCTCTGATATTTCAGATTTATTTGTTTTTCAAATATATATTCGAACATAGCTATAAATTTTTTCTATAATAAAACTAAAATAAAACATATACAAAAAGTAAAACTTAAACTACGATAAAAATAATAATACTATTTGGATTACTTATCGAGTTTGTAGACTATAGTCCAATGAATTCATCAATCTGAATATGATGGACTTTGAAAATCATTCTAGGTAATTTATTATTATTCTACATATATACTACATATATAATATTAATTTAATATCCAGTAATGCAGATTTTTTGAATAAAATGTATCACCCCAGATCTCGACTATTTATAAACACGAATAACGGTAAACAAATAAATTAAATTATTATTAAATTGAATATTTTAATGTTAGCTCATATTATGTCTATAACGCATATAACGTTTAATGAAGATTTTGAAACGACAATAAACGATCGTGAATGGCTTACACCTTGATTGATCTACAGATCAAAATAAAAATATATAATTCCATTAAAAAAAAACAAAATCGAAAATCTCAAAGGTACAATTTTGTATCTAAGATTTGTAATATTATATACGTTTCATATACATCAATCAATATTAAAATTAATAATAAGCTGTTACTCTCAAAATATACTAAGTTTCCTTTGATATACGTTTTTCCATGGCGATTAATTTAGAAAATGCGTATCGAATACAGTATTTAAAATGGGACACCCTGTATATCGAAAATAATTTTAATACTGATCGAATTTTCTATATATAATCGTTATCTTTTTAAATAATGAATGACATCGTCTGTTGAATGCTTTTGTTGAAAAGAATTCAGATATATAAAATCACCGGAAGTCTTGGATTCTCTTGTTGCACTATGCCAAATACGTGTACCTGTAATCTTATAATTTGAAGCATTTTAATGTTACTATTTTTATGAATGCAATATTGTTCTTTTCGGGCGATACTCCGAGTCGTCTTATCGATATAAGAAATTGTTTGAATATGTAAGAAATGTATGTTTTCCATGTTCACAACTCTTTCAATTCCATCTTTACGAAATTATAAAATTCTTAAAAACCTGTTGCACGTATGTACCTCTGTATTTGTTACGAAAATCCATTATTTTCAGTCAAAAATAATATCTCAACTCTCTATCTTAACTCTTGTAAAAATATGTTCTTCGTTGTGTAATAATTGATGTAATGACACTTTTGTATGAATGACTCTTTTATTTGTTTAAGATGAATTTTCTTCTGTCTCGTCCCATCTAATTGTAGTAAAATATACAATTTTATATATATATAAAATTTTACAGGGAAATATATAATCGAAAATCCAAAGCTGAAGAAAGCTATAAAATTTGTAGAAATGGTTATTATAGTCGATAAATTATTTAAGTCAAGATCACAATTTCTTAAATTCTACTTATTATCATACTCTATATATACATACCTGAAGAAATTTTTATTAATTTTTAATTTTTAAAAATTTTTGCAATTCTTTAAATTGTTTATTCAGTATATACAACTATTTATATTTGTTATTATACGTTAAACATTCATGTGAATATTATCTGTAATATTTCATACTACTAATGCAACAGTTTTAACCAAATATTGTCATTTTCGTAAAATTTGTGAAAGAAATAATATCGAAATAAGAATGTTCCTTTTCAAATATAAAAAGCACAATTTTCTGTCGTACGGAATTTTAAATAAAAATATTATTTTTATTTGTAAAGAGAAAAATAATTTTCATATATATTTAGTAATTACTAATTAATAAACTCATCGGTAATTAATAAATTTATATACAATCATATTTTCAAAACGTGACACAATTTTCATCCGTATTATTTTATGCGTGATCCAAAGTTGTATTATAATAAAGAGCAATTTCAAAGGCTTGCAAATATACCATTGAATAGAGATTTCAAACTCTCAAAATTGTACTATTTTATCAAGCAAATACTGGAAGAATTTATTAAATGTGGACAAATTGTAAAAATTCAATACGAATATAAAAGAAGAAAAAGATAATATTATACATATTATGAACCATGAACATTACAGCTTTTTTCATAATTACTATTTTGAATCCTTAAAAATATTTTTAGATAATCACATACTACTTTAATTAGTAAAGTTAACTTCTACAGCATAGAACATATATCTCTAACTTCACAATTCTTACAAAATAAATTTTGTCATTCCCTATATCGACGTTATTTTAAAATAAAAAAAATTGTAAAAATTACCAGTATTTCGAAAAATTAACTTCCATAGTACGCATTATGAATAATAATTCGACATTTAGTTTATATTCTGCAATTTTTAACTCTTTTTAACATCAACTTAACCATCGCTTATGCTAATAGTAGATAATAAAAGATAATAATAATTACTTTAAAAATTACATGTATTTCTAAAAATTTTTCGAAGTCTGTTTCAAAAGTACGATTCGCTATTTTATCACGTAAAATCCAAATGAACGATTTTACTAACCAGAATATGAATATTATCTCGATTCGCTATATTTAATAACAAAAATGGATTGCTAGCAGCAAGTTTCGTATGCAATGATTTATAATACTATTATTATCATTCTGTCATACATCGCCTTCTCTACGTAATCGGATAAACTGGGATCGTCTATACAACTGAAACATATTTCTTGGAAAATATAACTTAAAGAAGTATAACAATATCCAATGTTTTAAGGGTTAATGCTAATTATGCGAACTAACAAAAAACAAATCTCTTTTTACTCGTGTATGGCTTAACGCTCACTTTTCTCCTGTCTCTGTAATCTCTAACAGTTTTCAGACTACAAAACATGGCATTGTAGACCCCATGTTGTCCATATGGGGTCATCAACTCTTTGTTAATGGCGATACCGATCAGTAAGTGATCTATAAAATACACTTCTCACAATATGTATTTTATACAATATGCAATGCCTTGCGTGCTGTATACATTTAGTTTCTTTCCGATAGATCATTTTCATTCCTATGCTCCTTTATTACTTCACTGGTACTCGTTTAAACGTCACTTGGACGATTGCTTCGATTTTCATTAGTATTTTTATTATTCGATAAAGCTTATTAAATATCTACGTAAGCTCACATTTTTTCAATTTCGATATTTATATCCCAGTACATTCACACGTTTCGCATAAACATTGCGAAACGAGCAGATATACCACTAACGTTTTCTATCTTTTTTACAGAATTGCAAAGACACTTTGCTTCAGCAATAGGGGCCATGGCTTGTACCTCTCATCGCCTACTGAGATCCAAAAGTTCTCTGTATCCAGTCAATTTTGGTACGTATCTATTTTTATCGTATACAAAACTTCAATCTTCGAGGAAATCCAAAGCACCGAATTTTATTAATAACGTTTAAATTTTACATCCCCTATTTCTCCTGTCCGCGATTAGCTGATATTTTTCTTTTCTTTTTTTATTTTTCCTAGCCTAATTTAATTACATTTATGTAGGATCGGGTTGGGTGGATTGGTTAAAATAGCGCTGTTACTTCTTGATAGAATAAAGTAAGCTTATACGTAGATTGACGGCTAGGAAACAAGAGGGATTCGCTATGGGCACGTTTGACTTTGACTTCTTACTCACATACTGACACACTCTTAGCAACTTCCAAAAGACTCCTGTAGACTGTTAAGGACTGGCGCTGCCCGCGTCTTTGCACCCTTATTTAAAGCATTCATTCTGTCTTTTTTCATACCCAGACTTTCCTTTCCAATCATACCCCTTTCCCACGCAACCTCGGTGGGCCAGCTACTTCAACCACTCTGGACGCATCCCTAAACTTTCACTCGACTCTACCATAAACATTCTTTGCAGTCAATCCTCTTGCACACGGTCACTTTCATTCTAAGCCCAAACACACTTGACATTCTTTCAGGGCCGTACTTATTCCAATCCCACATTTATGAGAGTTCTTTTACACGTTTTTACTTTTATATGATTGCTTTAAAAACGCTGATTACTCGAATTAATTCACAGACAATGTCAAGAAAATCATGTATATTCTATACAAATATTTTAAATTCTGCTGTTAAATTTTGTTTCTCCAATTTCTTTGACATTTGAAGAAGTAAAGGCTCTCTTGGTTTGTTGTATGTGGTTTGATTTAAGTGTAAATTAGAGTCAACAAGTAACTCACAAAGCACAGAAAATATGTGGATTTGATTAGTCATTAACTATTGGGTAACATTTGAGCTGTTGGAATGTCTTATACGAAAAACGCGTTATAAGGAAACCGCGTTATAGGAGACTTCATTGTACATCATTTTATTACTATGTCAAAAGTATTGATTTCAAGACCATTAATAATAGAACCTAAATTAAAATTCTTGAACTCGGTATAGTATTTCTTTTACCCTATACGCACCCACTAGATAGAAACAGATTTAGATGTCATAATTATGTCATGTACGTGTATCACCTATTTTAAATACCTAAAATATATTATAGAATAAAGTACAAATTTTCATTGCAATAAATCATCGTTCTAGTTGTAAATGCGGCTTAACAAAGAAAAAATATGTTAATGCCTTAATGAAAAATTCAGAACGAGGAATATATAATCCATGTGGCATTATTGAAGATGTTAATGAGGATGAATTATTAGTTCTTACGTGAATCGTATTGTATTCTAATACAATCCGTAATACATTCACATTTAATATTTATTATCTTCCTGTTAAAAGACTTTCAAGTGCCATCAGGTTGTTGTTATTTGACATACTTCCTGCCGATTTATACTTTAAATTTAATCCCTTTGCTGTTCACTCTAAGCACATGGAATGTACGCAAATACCATAATTATTTTTATGTGTATTTACATTTCACGAATAAATTTACAAATATCCAAATACTGATTTTCTGAAACAAAATTAAAGTAGGTGGTTAAAGGAGGTGCACCTCCTTGGCATAGCACATAAAGAAAGAATAGACATACATCTAAATACTTAAAGAATGTTACAAAGCAGAAACAAGAAGACTAAAATGAAAACATCCAATAGACATAATTGTAGGATCGGATTTTGGGTAGATTGATTTAAAATAGTATTGTCGGCTTCTCAATAGAATAAAATAAGCTTAAAAATATGACAATATATATAGAATAAAATGAGCTTATATATAATGACAGTGGCTGGCTATGGAATAAGAGAGATTCGCTATGGGCACGCTCTTCTGATCTTTCTTAACCCATTTGCATCATGGCTCTACTTAAGGTGCCGTGTTCAGACATCAGCGACGTTCAACTGACTGGCCCGTATCACCGCGCGCGTATCAGTACCTACTCATAATGGCAGTTAAAAGGATTTTCACGACAAAAGTAAAACTTGTTAAGAATGTAATGAACCCATGTGGATGAGATGCTCACAAAAGGGATCAAACGTGATCTATACCATATGAAGAATATTCAGCAACTGGTAATGGAAAAAGTCAGCTTGCGGATTATTCCGCGCTCAGTGATAGACGATAGTTGTGGCTCGCGGAATATTCCGCGCTCGGTAATAGACGACAGTCGTGTCTCGCGGAATATTCCGCGCTCGATGATAGGCGACAGTCGTGGCTCGCGGAATATTCCGCGCTTGGATGCAAATGGGTTAAACTGACTCTTATAAACTGACTTTAGACTTTGACACACTGTCTTTGACTGCGAACTCTTAGACTTTGGACATTCTTAGACTGACTGATGGACTGTCTTAGAGTGAACTGTTAGACTGACTTTGACTTTTTACACACTCTGACTCGCCTGCGCCCTTGCACCCTTATTTAAACCATTCATTCTGTCCTTTTTTCACACTCAGGCTCTCCTTCCCAATCATGCCTCTTTCCCCGTAACCACGGTGGACCAGGTTCTTCAAACACACACCACACTCATAAACTAACTTCCATTCGTTGTGGTAGTGATTGTCATAGAATGTGTTGTATGAGTGTGAGGAATGTTTGTGTGAAAGAATGTGTGTGTGACGAGTATGACAGAGAGTCACGAAAAAACAATCAGTAGGTGAATGACAGTCATTACATATAGACGTTGTGTACGAGAGAGTCCTCGAGAGATTATATCGCAGTTAGAAGCGAATTTATTTTACGAGATTTAGTTATAATTTATGTTGTGCTGTTATTGTGTTAAATAAATCTTCTTATTAATTTATCCATTTACTCACATTCGTCTATCGGATTCGACTCTGTCACACATTCGTTTGACCCTCTTGCACGCGGTCACCTTTGTTCTAAGTTCAAACACTCCCGACACTCTTCCAAGGCCATACTCATTCCAATCCTACATAATTGTAACAAATCCCTAAAAACCAGTTAGCTCCGATGGGAAGTTAAATAGAATCTGTGTGCGAGAGAGAGAGAATGTGTGTGAATAAATGAGAGTATGAAGAGCCAAATAACTACAACTAGTTTCTAATGTATTCGATACTAAAGGAAGTATAAAAAAGAAAAAAAAAAGTTACAAGAAACGAATGTATTTCATTATTTACGTTTATTTTCATTTAATCGTTGCTTTCATTTACGTTCCTTTTGTTACTTTTAAATTTTCTCTATATTAAAGACAGAAAACTTTTACGTAACTTTTATGTATCATTTTTCAATTCCCTTCTAAACTCAGATCGAATGAATGTGCATAGTTGAAAAGTAGTAAAGGGAACGAACAAGAATAAATATAAGAGAATTATTTTATAATTTTACTCTGTCATAAAATTTTAATGATATGAGAAATTGAGTAGCGTATTGAAATATTTTGCAAAATATTCAAATTTGTAAAGCGTTTTATATGCAATATTTTCAGTGGCGAATTAACCGAAATGATGGGAGACTTATTCATCGGCCACGACATGCCCGAGCCTCCTAAAGAAAGTTTCTTTAAAGGTCTCTTTGGCGGAGGATCACGAAGCCTTGACAGAGAAGAGTTATGTAAGTTTGATAAATTTTTTCCAAAAATTATTAAATATTTTTATAATTGTTTAGAATACCAGTATATTAGCGAAATTTTTCGAAGTTGATATCAAAATAATAATTTCTTTTTATGTAATGTCTTAATAATGTAATCTTGTAATTTAATGTAATGTAATGTGTAAATATGTAAATCTTAAATCTACGTTGAGAAATTGTAATTCTTCACTGTTGATGTTTTTTGTTAACTTAAAGATGATTATTGGACAAAATTGGATTGCTGTTATTAAAGCAAAGAAATGAAAATTATTTTTCAGTCAAATGTACTATTTGCACAAAATAACAATTACATTTGATTTTGAAACTATGAAACGTTTAGTTTAAAACTATAATCAGCATACACACAAATATGTTTATAAATATTATTTCACTGAATTCATTTGCAATATAGAGAAACATAAATATTTTTCGGATTAGAATTGCTAAATATTACTTAAATATTGTTAATATTATTCCTAAGTACATTTGCAATTTCTGTCTAATCACAGAGTATTCAGAAAATTTATTTCGTTCTAATTTTGATAATTCTAATATTCTTATTAACTCGCGCATAATTTATCGATAAACATAAAAGGTTGAAAATAGAACAAAATTATTTCGCGATCACTTATAATTTTTTAATTACATTATAAAAGCTCTGCTAATAATTAAATTCGTATTTTTTATATTTTTAATTCAATAGCATATTTACGGACACATACCTATTTCTACGGACACGCGTCGCCATTTTGTTTAAAACGCAACTTGAACAGCAACATAATCATACACAATTAACTTATAATATATATAAATGAAACTGTGAGATATATATTTATAGGGATTATTATTATTCAAGTGTAAAGTCTTTTTAATCTTGCTCGTGAAATTCGAAGTAATTCAAAATGACGCGCCCCGTTAACTTAGCGTTGAAGAAATTTTCTCAACATAGATTGATTTCAGTGATTTACTAAATGTTATATATCTCGTTATCTTTTGTTTTACAATTTCTCATTATTGATGGTACAAATCAGCTAAGTAACTCGATTAATTTTTCTTTTAGTCGGCGAATCTAGCGGTCGAGCTTCTCGCACGGTGGCGAAACACATACCAGGACCGAATGCCGGAGCGGAAGGTCTTCGCGAACGCGTGACAAGCGCGACAGGAGAAGTAAATTTGGCTCATCAGATGGTGCTCGAGCGCGGTGAAAAACTATCTCAACTGGAAGATTTTTTATGACGGAAGCCGAGAGTTTCTCGCAATCTGCTCACGGATTGATGCTCAAGTACAAAGACAAGAAATGGTATCAGCTATGAGAACATCGTTCGACTTCTATCCGAATTTGGAATGGCGTACGATTATATTGTAATTTAGCGTTCACATTTCACCTATGAGTTCTGTCGTACCAACCAGGAGGACGAAACTAAAACTCGACAATTGGGTAATTGCGAACTTTACACGCACACACAGGAAACATGTTACATGATAAAGAGTGAGAGCTGTATGCAAATGCGTATGCATGTGTAGTTGACACGAGCGTGCTCGAGTGCATGAATGCGTGAGTGTGTGCGTGTGTGTTTCAAAAGACGAGGCGCAAAAGTACAGCGAGAAAGAATGAGAGAAAGTGGAACAAGAGCAAAGGAAACATATATGAGATACTTTTACATGCAGGTAATACACACGCACATCTTTCAGCAAAGAATATAAAAAAAAAAACTCGTATATACACGTATAAACACAACTAAGATTAAATATATATGCGCGATTTCTCAAAATGTGTAATAACCTCTATATACATATATACACATTAACGTATAAAGCGAACAGATGAATGGTATGCACGTAACATGTGAACCAAATAGATGAAATCGGAGAAAGAGGGGATGGTTGCTATTAAAATTAAATAAATTATTAGTGCATATAGGTTATATAAGTTATAAAAGAATAAGTACTTAGGCAACTATAGGAAAATGATTCAACTACGTGCGAGTCAATACATACAATTATGTAATAATTCGCCTTTTAACCGATCGGTATTCGTTAATTCATTCGGACGTCCTGTAAATCTTGTAATGATAAATCGTTCCCGCCAATCGGCTTGTCCTCGTTTATTCTTCGTCGACGAACGAAATCAAACGGATAAAAGGAAATATATATACACCTATATACATACACGTATCGAGAAAGAAAAGAAAGATAAGAAAAGGAATATGCGAAGAATCGATGAACGGTAAACATCCAAATTAAGAAGTTTTAAGAAGAGCCCGTTGTTGAAAGTACAGCGACGTTATTCCGAATGTATTGACAATAAAGGTAATTAATTAATCGAGATAATAGCGCACTGAATAAACGTTGGATGCAGTGTAATATATAATTTATCCACGATGTCGGGTCCTCAGGCTTATGGTATCTTCAGGTATTATGGTGTGCAACAAACCTGCTGCGTCGACGCATCGTTGATAAACTATATATTAGTTGTTATTAATTGTAGTTATCGCTAGATATGCTATGTACATAAAGGAACAAATGCAGTAGGAAAAATATTATACGTTAAAACAAAGAGCTGTTTGTATAATAACGTGTTGTAAGTTACGCTACTTCAGCGTCGATGATGAATTCAACTGAATTTATGGTATATAACGTTGAGAGTGAAGGTGAGCTACTGTAATTTTAAAAATTATACGTAGATTAGATTAATTAAAGACAATATATAATATACATATACGTATGTATAAGTTCATTTGAATTTATTGAGGCTCTGAATCGTCGTACTGCTTCCATAGCAATAATTGTATAGTTGATGTTAATGGTACTAATCACCTGCATAAAACTATATTATAATGTGTCCTGCAGAGAATTAATTAGATTGCAATTTCTTCGAGTTGAGTCAACAACTTCTTGATATAATTTTCCGCGAACAATATACGCAAGTAGAGGTTCGTTGGTAAACTTTTAACCGCCACAATACCTTTTGTCACGGGATGTACTTCTACTATCGAGTATCGCTACTGTTGTGGTCCACGAGAAAACAGGGTGGACTTGCTCGAATATCGTTGCAACATCCGTACAAAAAGTTTTTCCAATTTTTGGGATCGCGATATATATATACATATATGTATATATATATATATATATATATACACACACACACGTATAACGTACACAAGAGAACCGAGAATTAATTCTACTTTCATTCGTTTAACTTACTAACCGGTATCTTTTTTCTCGGCAGCTTTTATTGTCTTAATCTCGGTAGTCTTCGAAGTCCAGCACTGCTCGAGCAGCAATGGATTGATTTACTGTAAACGTAAAAGCAAAATAAAAGTGACCGCTATCGTGTGATGATCATATTAAACTAAAAAATCAGAGAAGTGTGCTGATATCCTATAAGAGAGAAAGAGGAGAAACCAATAGTGTATTACGCGGATAAAAATGTCCTTCTCGGATCTTTTGTGAAAGTGACGAAAAGTTGTTTACTGCTCTAACAATAGAATAGTAGTTAAATGTATAATAGTTGCAGAGAAGAAACAGAAAATACATTATTACTTAAGTGTTTGATAATATAACATATTCTAACACTTGTTGTATAAAGACTATTGTTTAGGTGATTCTGAATTATTTATCATATCAAACAGGTTGAGATGTGTTTGAAAATAATTTATTGTAATAAAAGGAATATTTCAAACTAGAAGAGAAAAATACAAGAAACGAGTAAAGATAATTATTAATTGGAATTTCTATTTAACCTTTATCTATATTTCGTTCCGCTTCTCAAGACAACGGACAAAAGCAGAAAATAAAATTTATTGTACTTCATCGGTCAAATTATTTTCATACACAAACGTATGTAGATTTATTGCAAGGCTAGTTAATTTCATTTGTCGTTCGATTAAATTACGAGCCATCGCGACACTAAATGATTGTTCCTTATCTCGATAAGGAGAACATTGCTTTGCGAATATTTGTATTTAATTTCCCATCGTTCTAGCTATTCGAGACATTTCATTTTGTAACGAGTAACCTATACGTTCTGTTTTGGTACGTTCGAACGACCGGTAGCTACCTCTCCCACTCACTATATCCTTTGTATCGAACGTTCATCGTCTATTCTGTCTAACCTATTTCGACGCTGTGGCCTGAATCTGTAAATCTAATATTGTACATGAAATTTTGTCCTTAAATGCAGCGAAATATCTAATACTCTCGATTTATACTATTACTAATCTAGTACAATTCTTATTTTTCAAGAAATATAATACCATGTTATTGTAAAAGTACTGCCTCGAGGACAGACTGTATCTTGGCTCCGATTAATAAATGAGTTTGAACCAAACCAAGGATTTCTGGTGTTTAATAAGTATAATAATTCTTTAATTCTTTAAAATAGTAATTTTTCGATTTTCTGATATATGAATTGTCTATAATAAATTATTTTACTCGCTGATACTGATTTCTATAAAAATTTTCTACTTTAATAATATATTCGTTATGCATAATAATTTTTTAATTTTTTAATATAGTAATATTCTATAAGGATTTTCTAGCTTTCTATAAATGTTCTAAATGTAATAAATATAATGATATTCTACCATTCGTCAATTTTATGCGCAATTCCCTTTACTATTTTCTTCCCTTTTTCTTTTAAAGAAAAGCTATATCTTTACCTTTGTTATAATATTTAATTATTGACTTTTATGAATTACTTAATTTAAATTATTTAAATTATTTACTTAATTACTTAATTATTTAATTTAAATAAAACACGATTTCTAGTATTGTAAATATACTTCTAACTATTAATTAATTATTAACTGACTATTTTTGAAGCATATCCTGAATCATAAATATATACAAAATTTTATATCATGGCATTGGTTCTTATATTATGAAATCGTTACTTAAATGAACAATGAAAACAATTATAAAGTGAATACAAGTAAATGTTGATCCTTCACATAATTCTTCTATCTGTTTTGCTTTTCTTTGCATTTTCGTGGAAAACACGTTTTACTTGGATATGAGAGAGCAGAAACTTAGATTTCGCAAATTAAATTTAATAAACTGTTTCAATATTTTTTCTTCTTATTAAAACTTGTATAATTTCTTATCTTCAAGATAAGCTCATTATTAATGCGTAGAATATAATATTCAAATATGATACAGAATCAATTAAAGTAGTATTGGTTTGCATAATTTTAGTATATTTGAAAGTAAAAAATCGTTGAATCATTTTTCGTCCAATTTTACTTGGGTTTATATATTATATTATTGCACTTGTTTTGTGTTATAACTTGTTTCTTTTATTCCTTTTAATTTGTTAGTTAATAGTATTAGTGCTTATAACAATAAGAACAATAACCATTTATACTTTTAAAAGGATAAGAGCAATTTAAAAAAAATTAGAAACCAAAATTATTAATTTTTGTTGATTTTATATCTTAAATTATTGATCATACGAATATAAATTTTTTACTTTACTTATTAAGAATTTTAAATAATTTTTTGTTTAACATAAGAAGCTACTTTTATTTTTACGTATTTTAAATAAATGTCTGCCTTTCAATTTTTGTTAAATTTCTTAAAAATTGTTGTACAGTAACAACCTCGAACTATTATATATTCTGTTGTATATACTTATTTGTAAGTATATTTAAACAGATTAGTCATAAATAAATCAGCATAAATATAGTAAAATATAGTTCTATATTTTGTTATTATCACTATATTATATCTGTATTATCACTATTATTATCGCTATCACTATACTATACTATAACGAATATACTATACTATATTTCGTTAATATCACGTGCATATATATGTAACGTTATCTGCCATAAATACTAGACATTTCACTGGGAATATAAAAGTATAGCATACCATTTAAAAATAATAATATGACCCTAAAATGTTTAAAATTCTTCTATCTGTAAAAAAATAATTGCTGTCACATTATGGCTCCCTGCAAATCATACAACTTTTGTTGCAAGTGATCGAAGTTTCGCTCAAACCTGTATATAGTATCTCTTAAAATTATATTACTTTAGTATAGTAAAAACTCGTTTTTACTATTCTTACAATTTTTGTAGTGTTTTTTTTTAGTCTGGGAACACTGGAAATCATAAAGTATGCTATTATTTCGTCACATACCATAAATGCAAATATTTAAATTATTTATATTTTATAAATAAATATATAGATACGTAAGTAAATGTAACTAATGTAAGTAAATATTAGATAAAAAAAATCTATTTATTATTTCTTTACTATCATAGTAAATATTCCTTTAATCCCTTATATTACAATACGAGCCTAACTCATCGCGAGTTTTCTATACTGAACCCCATAAGGATGAATTATATTCGCATGAGACTAAAATTACATTTAACATATTTTAATGTATGCAAAATTTGTGTAAATTCTATAACTAATTAATTCTACAACTAAAACTATAAAGTTTTATAATTTTATTAAGAATAAAGTAAGTGTATAGTCGCTAATTAAAATTAAATAATTGTACAATGCTCAGTTTCTCATAATTAAATCATAGTGCAAGAGCTAATATTGCATTTCGTGTAAATATAACGCTACCAAATCAATGACACCAACCTATTCCATAAATTCTATTTTTGCAGTTACTGAAAATGTATAACTGCTCTTGGTAAAATTACTGTTGCCCTTTATTTAAATAAAAATGTGATTATTACGTATTTCTTTATTTTCATTAAATCGTTTCAACTATTATCGTTTGTGTATAGTATATTTAATCACAAATTAGAGAACAATAATCCTGAATTAGTTAAATACATTAGTTAATATTTCGTATCTACTTACATACAGCAGTCGGTAATTAACGATTTATATACACCTAATTACAATATAAACGTTGCAATATAATCAACAGAATAGAACAAGAAAACACAATATTTAGAAAATAAGAAATGAAAT